AACACTTAATCGTAGATGGCGCCATAGTGTGTCGAATGATCTGAAGAATATACAGTGGTGTATGATCGAATGAAGAATATACAGTGGTGTATGCATCATAAAGCGAATTGTGGTAATGCGGTATGTGTGGGTGTGTGTGATTATTTGGCGTATGTCGACTGGAACAGCTGCGTGCTCTTAACGGAATTGATTTCCCCTGCTCAGATGCACAGAATTATGCGCCAGGTTGATGTGCCCGTTGCGTGACCGCTTGTCTGACTCTTGATGCACGAACGCCTTGCACCAAAAGAACCGGGCGAGGTTCTTCCAACCCCGATACGCACTATGTAATATCACTGCGTCAATCCTTATCCATTCAGTGACTAGAATCAATCACAATCTGTTGCATCGCTCGTCACTGTTTCTGAAGCGTCGCCACTAGACCTATTACTGCGTGAATTAAAACGAAAAAAAAACTTTGTTTTTCAAGTCACTGTGTCGTACTTAACGATATCTTATTAGAAAATCTTAGTTTTGTCTAACGTATTTTTTGTTACCTGTCTGGCGTGCAAGTATAGCGCAGTGATAAGTTGTTGATAATATAGGTATTAAAGTCCTGTGAAAGAAAACATAAAGGATGTATTGCCGTGCCCAGTGAAAGCTAAGCATGGCACGCAATTCACTAGCGATCCACTTGCGCAAGGAATTTCTCTTTTCCTGTTGAGACACTCCATTGCCCCGACACATTCAAAGAAGGTAGCGGCCTCTGTTACAGCAAAAGTGTGTCCCGCTTTCCAAAAAATGAATACTGAGGGCTGACGGGGTCATGGCTAGACCATAAAGCACAGGAACTCGAAGCAAAAAAAAAAAACAACCACCACCTAGAGCTTTTAGTTAGTCCCACTTTAGCCACTTACATCGCAATATTACTAGCTTAACAACAACGTACGAAATAAACCCCACTGTTAAAACACAATGTGGGCATCGCACATTTATTTTGAAGAAACAAGGCGCTGTATGAAACATTGGCGTTTACCTCAAACATGACGACAAGCATGGCGACGCGAGACGCACGTTTGGTATACGGCAGCACAAGAATGAAAATTCTTAAAGTCATTCTGAGGTAACTTCTCAGTTCTTCGTTTTGAGTCATAGTTGTCATAGTTCCCGAAAACAGGGGAAAAACTTGGCAGCGAAAGTTTTCTAAAGCAGCAGAAAATCGCAAACAACCCTAAAATGTGTAATTAATGCCCCTGTTTCATTTTTCGAAGCTGAAGAAGACCGACTTCTTTACTTAAACATTACATTTAACGTAACATTGTTTGTTTAAATACCACCATAGGTACCACGCAGGAACGACGCCTTCGAGAGATTGTATCTTCGTGGACTCCAAGATTAGTGCGGTTGTGGTTGCTATTTTTAAAATAGGTATATTACTAAGCTTATGCTTAACATTGTAACTTCACAAGTGTCTTTAGCAAGTTTTGGTTTGTTTATTTCACTATCAATGAACTATTGCTAGATAATGAGTGTATGCGTGAAAATCGTATCCATTTTTTCAGAACTACTTAATATGCAGTGCGGGGATGAAAATAGGACAATAGGATGGAAATTAACTTTTCAAAGACTACGTTCACCATATAACCAAGAAAAAATCCGTACTTGCATATGATTATAAAATCAGAAATAGCTTTCTGACCCAAACACACAGCTTTAAATACCTGGGGGTGACTATTACCAGCGATTTGGGGTGGCAGACTTATGTTGAGGAGGTGTGTTCAAAGGCCTACTAGAAGTTGTTTTACTTGAGGAAAAAACTCGAACATGCCCTTAGAGATGTCAAATTACTTTCATATAAGACATTTGTTCGCCCTATTTTGGAGTATGCGTCTTCTGTATGGAGTCCTCATCAGCAGTTACCGAGAGATAAAATAGAAAAAATTCAAAGGCTAGCAGTGCGCTTCATTTGCTCGCGGTACCGGAGGACAGAATCCGTCACAAATTTGTTAAAATCATGTGCGCTAGAACCCCTGCAAGTGTGCCGCAAAAAGCAAAGGTTAAAACTCCTGTTTCAAATTATAAGAGGCGAAATGAAAATAAATAAAGACACATACATACAACCTGCACCCAAACGAGGAGCTCGGTTTAACCATAGTCACCCAATAAGGCCTTTTTGGGCGCGTCTGGATGGCTTTCAAAATTCTTTTTTCCGTATAGCATAGAAGTGTGGAATAGACTTCCAGAGTACGCTGTTACTAGCGCAAATGTCAAAGCGTTTGAGTGTTCGCTAGAATTGTACTACCGGCAACATGAAACGTAATGTCTGTTTTGTCATTGTGTATTGTTTTTGTTTTGTGTTTATATTCCTCCCTGTAATGCCCTCAAGTGAGGGTTACAGTAATAATAAATAATAATATGCAGTGCGGAGGGATGGAAAATAAGGACAATATCGCCTCGTGGGTGGACCTTATAATTATTCTTAGGTTGTTACCGACTACAGATGTAGCACAGTCAATGCAAACTCACCCGGACCGGAACATTCAGTTTCTCTCGTAACAGTTTTCTCAACGAAGGTACCACGAGGCTGCCACCACATTCGACTGAAATAGAATTTTGACATGTCAACAAAATAATAGTGTGCTCTAGCACATATATGATGGAGTTGATATGCAGTAAAAACGTACAAAAAGACAATGTCAGGGTGAACATTTTTTTCCAACCCTGCAGCTGGCATGCCCAAGCTAACATTAGCTAATATATACACTGATAGGCTGACGAGCCAATGTTTCCTAAAGCATAAAGACACTCACAAAGACTCGGCTACAACTGCTGTGTTTTTCTTCTGTCGAATGACCCGTCTTATATGGACAAGGTGATACAAAATTGACACAGAAAATAAATAAGGAAAATCAACTAAGCAATGCAAATTCAAAAATGCAGGACGAATGCATCAGATGCCTTTCGGTATTATTCTATAAACAAGCGTTCCGCAAGTTTAGACTGTAGTTACGTATTGAGTAGAATTTTCAACGAAGACGTCACATCGGTTTAGCTTTTGACATAGAACAGACAAAACTGCTGTCTTAGTTCATGCGCTTTTTAGTTTAAATTAAGCTATTTTTCGAATAATGACGCGGTATAGGTGGTGGCGCTTGTTTGTGTGGGTGTGTTTTATGGGTACGCTTTTGTTTCTTTTACGCGACAACGTTGAAGAGCTTGTTTTACAGAAACTCCGGCGTCAGCGTTGGTGCCGGTATTGGCATCGCTGGTTGTGAGTGAAAGACTTAATATGCGTGACCAGAAAATTGAGAACGATGGAAATGAAATAAAGTGATAAAAAATGCCAAGCCTGCGCGGAAGGCGCAGCACAGTCACAGTGAAAGCCAGAAGAGAGGGCTTTCAGAGCCGTTTTTAAACACTCAGTTGGTAACTGCGGAAAGCACGCAATTTGAGCACACTCTATGACATTATTATTAACTTTTTGTAGTAGGCCAGTATTCGCTATGCTATCATTCCTCATTCTTCTAAAAAGCCTGGTATCCGCTAAACACTAGCAAGGAGTTTTGTGCCAATTGTTTATACGTGGCTGGTAACGGTGAGGATTTATGCCGGAAGTAGGTGTGTTCCACAGTTAATAGCTGATAAAGAACAAGCTTTTGCAGTAAGGTGGCGCGTCGGACAACCCACTCGTTAAGCAATTCGCATTGTGTGACACCTGGTTGTTCTTTTGCCGTTCTAAAACGTCTTATTACTCATTCTAACGCGACTCCTTTCCCGACATCAAGCCTAGCTAAGGCAACTTTGTGAACAAGCCCCAAGCACCGGCGTGGCTCAAAGGTAGAGTACTGAGGTGGCACGCAGCAGACCGGGATTTGAACTTCCACTGTGTACTTTGCACTAAATGTTTTTTCTTCATTCCGCGATAGTGGCTACGGACACCGGCAGCGGAAGTGGCAGCGGCGGCGGCGGACAACTGCGGCACCGCGCGCGACTTGGGGTTTTATCTCATAACACTTTTCGCTGTTAAAGTTATCGGGTTAGACTAAGAAGTGAACCTGGGTTGTGTGGATCTGAGTTAATATTGAACCCGGGTCGTTTGCGCGGCAAGCGGATGTTCTACCACACAGCCACGCCGCCGCTTTTAATTACAGTGAAAAAAACTTCTGCTTTAACATGCTGTGAAAGTAACTTTCATGCTTTACAAACACACCCATCCTGTATATGCTTCAAAATACGCCATAATATACTGTAGTATAATGCTTGGTACAAGCGTACATTGCCATCGGGTGCTGGAACATGTGATTATCATTATGACTTTAAGGTTTAAAGCCGGTCACCCACTGCAAAAGTGCCACGCGTTACTGCGCCTATTACGTTAAGGTCACGTATAGTGGGTGCCTAGCAAGTCCCAAAATATTTCAAGCTCTAAGTGTTTCAAGTATGGGCCCCGCCGCGGTGGTCTCGTGACTGAAGTACTCGGCTGCCGACCCACAGGTCACGAGATCGAATCTCGGCTGTGGTGGCTGCATTTCCGATGGAGGTGGAAATGTAGTAGGCCCGTGTGCTCAGATTTTGGTGCATGTCAAAGAACCCCCAGGTGGTCGAAATTTCCGGAGCCCTCCACTACGGCGCCTCTCCTAATCGTTTGGTGGCTTTGGGACGTTAAACTCAACATATCAACCAATCATGTTTGAAGTACGGACTAGGGACTGCATATCGCTATCGTATTCAGCTGCTGAAGGCGAAGCTCAAGGGTCCACAGTTCTTCGTGCGCTGCTAATAAAGACAATGTTCGTTAAAAATTTAGGCAGCTCCGAGTGGGCGAACCAATAAGACACTGAATCTGGTGGCGTGCAGGGGGGTTGAATAACGTGGCATAAAAAGCTTGTATACCTCCGTGTGGGTCAAACCTTCCAGGTGGTTTATTCCACTGAGAGTAGGTTACGTTGCGCAGGCGTTGTGTTGTGATTGTGCTTAACCCATTCGTCAATACATTTTGAAGACAAAAGTGCAGTGTCTCGTATGGTATCTCGTGCCGATTTTGCGAGCCCCCATCCATGATTTGAATGCCACACACTTATTGCGGACTAGCATAGGTCCACCATTAGGTCCTCGTCATCATCTGCGTGCAGCGCTTTTTGTGTCCTTTTTTTATTGTCCTCGGCTAGGTGTTACGCTGTGGTCCACCATGGATCGCCAACTCGGCCATGTTTTATGTTAGTGAAACAGTCATGTAGTTGCGTGATCATGAGACACCACGTCATGTGACGTCAAATTTGGGTGATCCACAAGGTCATGATGGTGTCATGTCGTGATGAGTCATTACATTGGTCATGTCGACGGCGCCGACAGTCAATTTTCACGCTTGCTGAGGCAACTTAGGAAGGATGGAAGAGAAAAGAAAGAAAAGGCAGGAAGGCCAACCAAACACGTACCCGGTTTGCTGTAGTACGCCGGGGAAAGAGGAATGGAGGATTAAAAGATAGTGCGAAAAACATAAGGAGGCAAACAAAATACACTATTGCGTTCCACAGTACTGAACGGAAGGTTTTGACCACATCACGTTGCACTGTAAATAGTCTAGTAAATGTGCCTGCTCATAAGTACTGAACACAAAGCTTCCAGCAGCTGTTGCATGTGCTAAGTGTACGGTCATTTGCGCTTGCAATGAACACATGCAGTATGTGTAGGAGTGGCTGATAAACTAGGACAATTGCTTTGTCTTCTTCAGGCAACTGTACTCTCGCTGATTCTGCATTCGCTGTTGCTGATGCACACTGTGCTCAGTACGGCGCTTCGACTTAGGCGACAAAGGCCACGCAGCGTCAGTTCTGTTCGTGCCTACCTGGATGTTGCCATTTACAGTGATTGTTACGCACACGTTGCACGATGGTTTGAACAATATAGATCAATTGGAGTTCGCGCAGGCCGGGGAGGTTCTGGCTGACAAGGGTGTCAGTAAAGCAGGGAGTTCAAGAGGCACTGTATATAGTTGAAGTGGCATTGCTTTTTTTTGGTAATCTTCGGCATCGATGTTGCCGCTTTCTGACGGTTGCAGCAGACTCACTACGTGATGGCGTACGGTACCTTGCCATTTGTTTCAGTATAATAATTTCCCTCTTTATGTTTGGGCACTCTGTAGGAAATGCTTCGTGGGATTAATACAATTAGAACGCTTCAGGACATCAGCTATACAATTGTCGGCGCAATGGGCTTTGGACTAAATAAACAATTCTGACTGGACCTAAATTCATACAGTTGAAGTATCGTAATGGTTTCGGCACAAAAGGCCAGGCAGAATGATGGAAGTGGTTCACGTTAACGTAGGAAAGTAGAGAGTCATAACGTACTGCACAAAAAAAGAACGAAAACAGGAAGTAGAGAAACAAAACAGACAACCGCAGACTATCAACTGATGCTTTATTGCAAGACTGAGTCACAATATAAAGGCAATATAATTCTCCTCCCTCTTTTTCTTTCCTTGATTTTTATTTTTCCCTTTACACATTGCCTTGGTAATGCAACAAAGCTTCAGTTGATAGTCTGCGCTTGTCTGTCCTTTTTTTCTACTTCGTGTTTCCGTTCGTTTTTTGTGCAGTACATTATGACTTAGTACCAACTTGCCCAATAAGCTTTTCTTCTGAGGTAGGGAGCCTCAAATATACTTTTACGCAGCTGGTGGTACCCAAACCAGCAACCTTGGCAATAATTGTAGCTGCGTTAGCTGGTTTGACTAGGTTTCACAAGTTGGAACTAGGAAATGCGGCGTCAGCATCGTAGATGACGTCATGACGTCAGTAATATTGTTGGAGCTTACTGGAATGTATATAGAAGCGAACGTTGATTCCATCCAGCACTCCGAACTTTTGTAGTGTATTCAGTGGGATTGAATGCAAAACATGAATTGTCATGATAGTTCCACTCGGATGTGGATGATTTTACCTGGCACCAGGCCATCGACCAGCACTGAAAGAGGTTATTCATTAAGGCACTTCACGTCGCCGTTGGCGTCAACAGGAACGAAAATTGTGGTGTTGGCTTCGGGCCTTCACGGCGATTTTTCATTCAGTGTGTTCTGAGACACAGAGGTCCAAGTGTAACGTGTTTTCGCCTTTGGGCTCGTTACAAGATGGAAATCTTCATAATTGGCACCTGTCAGTAGCACTTCACCTGTGAGTGATTAGACTTCAGGGTCCTCGCTTTAGCAGTAAAGGCCCGTCCGCTTTCTGGAAGCGACCGCCACGGACGTCATAGGACCTGGCAGATGTCCGAACTGGTCCATGTTCGCCGCCAATTAACGAAGTCGTAGGTGTCACGAGGGCAACATATTGTTACGTAAAATTGACACGAGGCGTGTCTATTTATAATCTATATTGAAACTGATGCGTATAGCGTCAACTAAAATGGAGGACAGCACGCACAACCGACAGACCACTTCCTCGTTGTCGTCTTCTGACTCCTGATATGTCAGCTACGTAGCATTACCCCCAGGCGGTAAAAGCGCCGTCTAGGTGCACCTTAACCACGCTCTTCAGTAGGCAGGTGATAAGGTTTTCGCCTGCTGACGTGCACTACATCACTGGGAGTAGTTGCAAGCAGGCTTGGGGTCTCAGATGCAGGAATAATCTCATAAGTGACGTCGGTTACCCGGTGAATGATACGGTAAGGACCCACGTAGCGAGACAACAACTTCTCTGATAAGCCAACTCGACGAACTGGGCACCACAGAAGAACAAGAGAACCGGGTGAGAAGCGAACATCAACATGCTGGCTGTCATAGATGGCTTTCTAGGTGGCTTTCGAAGCCGGAAGTCTAGAGCGGGCGATCTGACGTGCGTGATCGGCATGAGCATTAGCGTTGTTGCGTGCATATTCGGTTGACGGCGTTGTAGTGGTTGGAAATAGGGTGTCGAGTGGTAACGTTGAATCACGGCCATAAAGCAAATAAAAGGGTGAATAACCAGTGATGTCGTGGAGTGAAGAATTGTAGTGAAGGTCACTCATTGTCTTTTTTCGTGCTGACCCTCAGAGACTGCAGCGCTTTGCCTGCCGGTACCGTGCACCACTCCGGCTCAATGTTCTTCAAAGAAAAAGTTGTCAAACACCTATGCTAAATTTTTTGCCTACCCCTCATGTAAAACCCCTAAACTGGGGCCTTTGAAAAAGGAGAATTATAGAAAAAATAAATAATTTTAATTATATACTGTTTCTCATATGTTCCTGTTTCAATGACGCAGTGCTTACGACCTTAGGGAGAGTAAAAGTGTTTCAGAAAGCTCAACCACTGGTTTTTGGTAAAAAGGTGTCAGAAAACTATGCTTTAAAGTTTGATACTTGCGACATTCTGTGACAAAGTGCTCTATGGTTTTTTGCTTGTTTATGATAGTACCAGTGAGGGGAACGAATGAAGCGATATTTGTGTAGGTAAAAATTTGAAGGTTAGATTCTGCATTGTAACTTAGGAAATGTCACTTCAGATTGTCTTGTTGCACGCCAAGAGCTATACCACTGAAGTTAAGGCGCTGAAAATTTAAGTGATTCAGAACAAAAGAGCTGGTGTGTTCTTGCCACGCACAGAAATTTTACAATCGCGTGATTGTATTCAGACACCAGGTTCTTAAATGTACAGGACGTGGCTCTGTATTGATGCTTGAGCCAGTGTGTCCGCTGCTTCATTTTATGTTAGTCCAGTGTGACCTGGCACGTAAACTAAATAGACCACACTTGAACAGCGTACTGCTATGCAGAATTCCTATCATCGTCGTCCTCGTGAGGCACGTAAGGCTTTCACTTAGAATTTGAATAGGACGACTACGAAATGTACGGGGAGAATTGGCACCTACCTTTGGATTAGTAAAGGGTTTTGTTCTTAAGCAACGTGCAGTAAACCAGTCATAATCATAGTTCCCTCGTTTTGCCTCTGCTTAAGCAATGCCTAATGTCAGCTGCAGTGTTAATTAAACCGTCGTTCTACCGCGTTCTATTAGACTCTTCGAGTTTCATCCGTGTTTATGTGAACTGATGGGCTAGCTGGTGAACCAATAAACCACAGGAGCATGTTGGTGATGCCGTATGTGTTCGCCGTTTCGCTCCATTTGCGAAATATAAAAGCCGAAATCCTGCGTTGACGTAGTGTTCACAGTACTACTATGAATGTCCAGCCAAACGGGCAGCTATCCAGGTCAGACGGGCAGCTACCTAAAGACACAGTAAAAGGAACACAACCGTCACGTCTCGGCTAAGATAGTGGGCATTTTTTTTCTATTCTAAATATTGTGACAGCGTTCCCACTATAACGAGTACGGAGGTTATGCGTAGGAAGCGCAACAAGAAAAAGAGAGAAATTATCCAATGAATAAATATCGACAAGTGGAAGGTAAATAAGCAGTTGCCCCTCGTATCATTCTCTAAAAAGTGTGCCAATACTTCGGTAGTAACCACATTCTCTTGTTGCAACTTCTTATCACACTATTGTTTGTTGGTTACGGATGCCAGCTACAGATGGTTTGAATCGACTTGACCCCGGACCATTTTGTGTGCGAAGATACTAGGACCTTGGGAATCTGCCTCAGTTGGCGCAGAAGCAACTAAAGCACTGCTACTTACCTAAGTCAACAAACCTGAGCGAGCGCCTGTAAACTGTGTGTGCTCCCCGAGTGTGCTCATGATTGTGTGTACCTTCTCATCTTTCTGCACCTCTTTTTCTCCCCTTTATTCCTTCCACCAGTGCAGGGTAGCAAACCGGATGTGCGTCTGGTTACCCTCCCTGCCTTTTCCTTGTATTTTCACTCTCTCTCTCTCTAAGTGTGTTTTTTTGTTTTGTGATCTTCAACGCTTTTCACTTCTCTCAGTAAGCATGTGCGTGTTCTCATACATAAGTCGTGTCTTTCAAAAATAAATCATCAATTGCAGTACCCTGCTTGTGTTTGCGTGTTTTTATGTGTGTGTGTTTTGTGTCCTGTGCCCTGCTTCTTCAAAAATCAAGTACATCAGTGTGGTTTATAGCTATTGCGATAGAATAAAATTCAATTCACGGGTAGTTCCATAATGCTAGAGAGCGCATATAATCGAGTGGTTCAAAAGCAATTGTAGTTTATGGCCAGAAGAATAGGCGTGCACACGGGAGAAGAAAGGGCTGGGGAGTGGGGTGCAAAGTCTGCCCCGTACAACGACTACATAGAAAAAGGGGGGCTGTGACATACCTCCGCCCCCACTAAGAGGGAACGCTATGACCACATGCCTGTCTTACGAAGGAAGCAATGCGGGCTTGTTGGTCTGTGATTCTTCTCGGATGTGGGTGCAAAAAGACCAGCACTAAGATAAAAAACTAAAGAAACAGAGGCGCCCTTACCCAAGAAGCGGGTTTTATGAATTAAATAGTTCACGGTGTGTCAGAGGTGAGCTCCGTAAAACAATGTCAGAGCTTTGTTGCAGACATTGCTCTCGGGACAGACATTTCTATCCCAAAAAAGCTGTACATTTTGGTTTGCGAAAAGTGACTTCTTCAAAGTTTTAAGTTTCCCTGGGTGTAGTTTCGTATTAACGTAGGTTAAGTAGAAGTCTTGCCAGAAACTAATTCAGTGTATCGACATGCTAAAATTAGCAGCATCAGTTTATTTTCAAATAGAGTGGAAAAAGACGAAAGGATTATTTACCCCTTTTTAGCGAAGAAAGGTCGTAATTCTTGAGCACGGGAGCTTTTTATCATATCCACGTTACATTGTGGGGGATCCGCAAATGTCTGTACATCTGCAGGAAAGAAACGTCTTGCTGTCAAGTGAATCAGTTTAGTCTCTCGTGGTCACACACCTTTCTGCAAGTAAATAAGGATAATTGTGTTTACTCAGCTCGACCTTATGCAGTGTTCAAAAGGCAGAAGATTGCGCCATTTACCTTTTTCAATGCGAAGCATTTTTTACGAGCCAAGTAAATTAATGACCTCTATCTGCACCTCTCTATCTGCCAGCCACCAATGTTCAGGTGATCTCGGCGTCTCTTCCTTAAAGGGGCCTCTTAAATTAAATGATGAACTGGCTTAGACTGATGAAATTTACTCTGAGAATGGGAATGCTGTCAACTCCAACATAACAGTTTATCTTTACACCACAAAGTCAAGGTCAAAGTACTGTTTTTATATTGCGACCAAATCTCCATGCAAGAAGCATTGGTTTCAAAATTGCATTTGTGGTACTTTCGCGGCCCTAGCCCGACAAGATGTCCTGAAACTTGCTATGTCAAGTCAAGGGCCTCTTTAGAAGTCAATGCACCGCACTTTACTCATTTGGAACTATGCGGGCCCCTGTATAGACGCCGTCATGCCTACGACGCACGGCGTTCTGCGAGGGAACTTGTAGGGGGCGTAGCTACACGCATTTTCTTTTTGCCCATTTATAGCTTACCATGGGTCTACCTGGCAAGCGAGGGGATTTTGGAATTTTCAACTTGTAGTTTACTGATAACAGGAAAAGCGTTTTTCTCTTAAGTGTTTCTTTATCATTGTAAATACCAAGAGTGGCGCAAAAGCACCAAAGGTGGCGCAGACCAACGTTACTAGAACTAGGTTCTAGTAACGTTGGCGCAGACTGTGTGACAAACATGACTTCACGTCACGAAGAATTCCGGCTGATTGCAGTCATTCCTTGAGCATGTTCAGTAGAAACAGCTTGGTAAACTTGTCGGTCGGTGTAGTAAATGACTGCAGCCGTACCTGTGCTCTTGGATGGCCTTGAACATAGCAGTTAGGGTCGTAGCTGGGCGTTGGTACTACCGTCTTGATACCCGGTATTAAAGTCCGACCAAGAACAACGCTCAGCCCGTACCATGAAAGAATGGGAGAGGAACGCACATCACCATATCCTGAATGAGAAAGAGAAAAAGAGAGGTAAAAAGTCAGCCTTGAATTTTTAAAGGTTGTGAAGTCCGTGCAATAAAGATTGAAGTGCTGAGCAGAGTATACATGCATTTGAGTGGTTGCAGTGGCGTTTCACTGTAAGTACTACGCACGGAACAATATTTTAGCTCTAGTTGGTTCCCACTAGCCATGGTGGGAGAAAGCGTGTCCAAACAGTACGCGCAATTTATCTCTGTTTCTTCATTATTTTTCTTTCAGCATTAGCGTCTTTCATGTTGGGGTCTATTAAGAACCTAAGCACCGGACGTTTCGTCGGTTAAAGCACACATTGCTAAGTTTTGAAATAAAATGAATCAATTAAATTATCTTTAACGTGTAGCTTATGCTGCACACAATCAAACGGTTACCTCAGTCATGTTCGATTGTAGTGGAATGCAATGACGTTGTTGACGAAGTTGTGATGACTAATCGTGCAGCCTTCGGAGTAACCGGTGGGTTCCCTGCATAAATGAGCATAACCGGTTGGGCTATGAGTAGAAGGATTGCTTCAGGCAGCAGCGGCAAAGTGACACAGGCCTTCAGGAAAGCGCAATTCTTTTCTAATACATTGTCGTCACCATTTTTATACCTTGTATATCATATTCATATCTCGGCGAAAAATTGAAGTCCACTCAGGCTAACCAAGAAATATATTTTGCCCTAAGTACTCACTTCGACTCAATCTTACCAACATATTACAAAACCGCAATCACTCAAACTTATACCACGGCTTCATCCAAGTTTTATGAGCCTGAGTGATTGACTCTGAAGTCCCTTGGAGTAAAACCACTTATGAAATAGTCACTTAAGGTAAACCGAATATTCAAGTGAATTTCGCTAGCGCTTCGTAGTGAGAAATGTTGATTGGCTCTATCCTTATAAACATGTGTATTAGAAAGCCCAACACGTGCCCCTAAGGCCATACTTTTCAGTTGAAGCATGACAGGTACTGCCATTTGCACGGAAAAAATTGCGAGGCTTTTAAGCTTTCGATTTCAATAGTTGAACGTGATAGCGATATCCTCTATCTAGTGCGTACTTTAATCACTTTGTACATACTCAATCAATCAGTGTTTATTAAACGAACTTAATAAATGTGGTTACAAAGTATTTAGGCCATTAGCCTGTGTGGCTAGTTACTGGTCCAATATAATACATGAATATTTTTACATGTCAGAAGCAAAGGATGACATGATATGATTGTGAATCTTTATAAAAGTTCAATGATGGAGTAGCTTAACAGGTATACTATATATAATGAAACGCACATAATATTAAATACGAGATTGCTGCTAAGTCCTAAGTACACAATAAGGAAGAACTAATGGCATACATTGTGTAAAGAGTACACAAGACGGGGCACTGGAAAAGAATGGACAGAATATTTGCATAAGGTTGCGTTGAAGGGTAAATAACAGTCGAACTTGCAACAATACAAAGAAGAAAAAAACAAGAAAGGGAGAAATCTGTACCAGGAGAGACAAAAAAATTACGGACGTGATCTTCACTGTAGTCAAGAACACGACTGATCGATAAAATGTATTTTGCAAGTCAAATACCTTGGCACGTAAGTTTCACTTGATTTGGCATTGCGTTGCAGATCTTAGCACCAGTGAACTAAATTAACCATTCGGCATGTACATTCCTACAATTTGGAAGGTTAAAGTTGCCATTGCCTGCATGCCTTGTGTTACGGGTGGGTGCAGAAACTAACTCATATGTAGTGGAAAGTTGGTGTTATTGATTAAATTTATCAATACCGCCGTTTTATAATTTCGTGAGACGTGAAAAGGCATTGTCCGAGTAAAAAAAATTAGATCCGAGCTTGTGGTAGAAGAAGACGTAATGACTTGCAGGGCCCGTTTATGTAACAATGCGATCGGTTGGACGTACGTTGGATAAGCGAAGCCCCATATTTCGCTCCAATAACTGATTTGAGAGTGAAATATAGAGAAGTATAACGATCGAAGCACGTTATATGGAAAGTAACATTTGGCTTTAATGATCATGAAGCATTCGAAAGTGAACTTTTTGGATATGTAATGAACCTCATTGTTTCAATGTTTTCATCTATTTGAGTACTGTTATTCTTTTCAGCCCTGAACTTCATTCTTTGTCAGACACATTCTTAGTAGGTATTTAATAATAGTAAGGGTCTCAGAAGACCACTAACGAAAAATTGACTCAGAAGTGTAGTATTTTTTGAATTGACAGCACTGACATCAATTATATCATTATGGCCCCGTAGTCATGAATTGTGAAAAAAGCCTAATTCGTTTTTGCTGTCTCCTAGAGTGGACAAATCTGCTACAAACGTAGTATTTGAAAGTGTTGAAGCTCCTAAAACGACTTCAAGACTTTGACACGAATGTGCCGCCTACCCGCCTCTGCTTGCCCACGTCATTGTCACCAACAACCTCGGTCCAGATTCTTCCTCGTTACGGCTTCAAATTCCGCAACAATGAAACATGGGTTCTGACCTTTATTTTCTTTCTTACGTTTTGGCTTTCGTTTATGTATGAGACTTCATTAAAAAAATTAAGCTGAACCCTTTTTGTAAGACTCCAAAATTCTGCTCCGTAGGCAAGTACCAGCAAAGTGCAGCTATTATATACCTTCCTCTTGAGGGATTGTGCTAATCTACCAGTCATGATTTGAGAGTGCATGCCGAATCTGCTCCACCCCATTGTTATTCTATTAGCTACTTCAATCTCCTGGTTCGGCTGCGCGCTCACTACCTCTCCTGAATATAGACGCACTCTTTTAAAACTTCAGGCGCACTGCTACATATATCGAAGTGCTCTTTCCTTTCGATGTGTTTGTACGTTACTTTCTTTTCTGCAGAGAAATTTTGGGACTTACCTTTCTGTTCTCCTGTTCATTTGCGTATTTGTTAATGGCGTTTCGCCCCTGAGTTAACGCAGGTTACTAAGGTAGTCTCCAATAACTGTTATCTTTATTTGTTACCATTATGGGCTTTTGAAAACCTCCTTAAAGCAAGGGGAAAACAGCGTTGGGAAGATTGTATCCCCTCGTCTAACACCTTTATTGATTCGTATTGTGTCGCGGTTTTTAAGGAGCACTATGGTGGCAGTGGATCATCTGTAGATTTCCTCCAGGGTGTTTATATGTTTCGTCGACGCCGTGATTCCGCATTGTCAGCATTACTGTTGATATTTCTACTGAATCAAATGCCTTCTCGCAATTTATGAAGGCTATGTATAGTGGTTTGGCTGTATTCTGACCATTTGTCTATAACCTGATTGATAGTATAAATGGTTCATTGTTGAGTAGACTGTTCGAAACCCTGCTTGTTCCTTTAGTTGACTGAATTCTAATGTTTTCTGAACTCTGTTAGCAATTACCTTCATAAATAGCTTGTATACTACGGAGAACAAGCTGGTTGGCCTGCGATTCTTCAAATCCTTGTCAACTCTTTTCCTATGTATTAAAATGACTCCGCGCTTTCGGTCTTACCTATATTGACGCACATTTACAGTCGTCAGCGGCCATCACTCATTTTGTTAGCTCGTCAACCATCGGGATCCTCGCGGCTGTCTAGCGCGCTGGGCACTTCAACTCCAAGAGTGTAGCTCAACAGTTTCATATAAAAGCAGTTGACGACACGCCGACGCAGATTGCCTTTCGCGCTTGCTACTGAACACTACAGAGTGTGACGCTGATAACCTCGACCACCTCGTAGCCTCTGTGTCACCAAAGCTTCCCGACCTCAGTACTTTCAAAGACGAACAGTGAAAGGGCACCAGACTATCGTTGCTCTGTACAGCTACAGCATGCCATTTCTGCGTACGCAACGCACTCCTGTATAAGAAGAACTTTTCCAGCACTGGCACACGTTTTCTCTTGATGGTGCCGGAAAGCCTTCGGCCAGTGATTTTAAGTGCTATGCACAACGATCCTACGTCCAGATATTTATGTTCTGCGCACATGGTTTACCGTACCAAGGAACGATTTTATTAGCCGGGAATGCGACAGTCCGTCGAGATGTATGTGGCCAGCTGCACACAGTGTTAACGCCACAAACGCCCATCTACTGCTCCGGCTGGTCTTCTACAGCCCCTGCCACCTTGAAAGACACCTATAAAAGTAGCCATTGACCTCGTTGGCCCTTTTCTAAAGTCGGCTAAGGGCAATCGCTGGGTAACTGTATGCGTCGTTTACCTCACACTGTACTGCGAGACGATGGTCATGCCAACCGGAACCGCCAGTGACGTCTCTGTATTCCTGCTGCAGTACGTTATCGTCCCACATAGCCCACGTCAAGTGATCATCAGTGATTTTGGATGAGAATTTACGGCAGATATATTTAAACGGCTGCTTCGATTGTGTGAGTTCCAGTTTTGTCAATCGCCGCCATACTACCCGCAAACAAATGGGCTCACGGAGTGTACCAACCGAACAATTCTAAACATGCTCTTATGTATGGGGCATCTGACCAAAAGATCTGAGACGACGTGATATCATTTATAGCGTACGTGCTCAACACAGCTAAGAACGAGACAACAGTCTATATTCTCCCCCCCTTTCCCTTTTTTTTGATGTACGTGCAGGACCGCCACGGCACACACTCGACACATTTTTGCCATTCTCGTTGCACGAGCACATATATGTCACCGAAATCCCCTGCCTTGCGAAGGAGTTGCGTCGTATTGCTCGTTAACGCCTTTTGGCATCACATCACAAAAGCGCTTGAGGTGTACCCTTCTCCTCCGTGTCTTTTTTGCGCCATATTCACGCTGTAAAAGATTATTTCAGCATTATTCTAAGAATCTGGCACCCTCCCCGTCAGGAGACACTTCGTAAGCACGGCGGCGAGTTTTTCTGACACAATC